TCCCAGTGACCCCAGTGAGATCCCAGTAAGATCCCAGTGAGATCCCAGTTATCCCAGTAATCCCAGTAACCCCAGTGATCCCATTACCTCCTCTCAGGGCTCCATGTTGGTCCCGTCCGGCCGTCGCCGCGGGGCCTGTGGGGACAGAGGACAGCCCAGTTTGGACCAGTTTGGACCAGTTTGGACCAGTACAGACCCATTTGGACCAGTACGGACCAGTACAGACTGCACACACACCAGTATAGGCTGTCATAGAGTTACATTCACCGGTCCCGCCCAGTATGGCCCAGTACAGCTCCACACACCCCAGTATGGCCAAGTCCAGCCCAGTTTAGCCCAGTCCAGCCCAGTTCAGACCAGTTCAGCCCAGTATTCCCAGCACAACATCCATTAAAAGCTAACATGACCCAACACATCCCAGTACAGCCCAGCATGGCCAGCACATCCCAGTCCATCCCAGTATGACCCAATGCATCCCAGCACATCCCAGCACATCCCAGTACAGCCTAGCACATCCCAGCACATCCCAGCACAGCCCAGTATGGCCCAGCATGGCCCAGTCCATCCCAGTACATCCCAGTATGGCCCCACACATCCCAGCATGGCCCAGTCCATCCCAGTACATCCCAGCACATCCCAGTACATCCCAGTACATCCTAGCATATCCCAGTCCATCCCAGTATGGCCCCGCACATCCCAGCATGGCCCAGTCCATCCCAGCACATTCCAGCACAGCCCAGTATGGCCCAGCATGGCCCAGTCCATCCCAGTACATCCCAGTATGGCCCCACACATCCCAGTATGGCCCAGTGTGACCCAGCCCATCCCAGTATGGTTCAGTCCATCCCAGCACATCCCAGTATGGCCCAGCACCTCCCAGCATGACCCAGTCCATCCCAGCACATCCCAGTCCATCCCAGCACATCCCAGCATGGCCCAGTATGGGTCAGTCCCTCCCAGTACATCCCAGCACATCCCAGTCTATACCAGTATGGCCCAGCACATCCCAGCATGTCCCAGT